GGAGACAACAGAACAGCAGAGCGCGGTCCCCGTGTTACCTTTGAACACAGAGTTCAGAGGGGCCAGGAAGGTCAGCTGTTCTTTTCCAGAGAGATGCGTGCTGAGGCCAGCTTGTCTGAGGAGGTCAATGGCTGTGGAGACGTCAGAGTCTGCAGCCAGCTCAAGAAGCGTCTTGGCTGCAAGAAGGAGAAATGGAGTTCAGAGGGTGGCAGGGCCATGTTGCATCCGGCACGGTCCACCCCGGACGGGACGGATGTTAGCAGGAACCGCAACTTGTGAGTCACCAGCCCTCTGAACGCAGTGGGACTCAGCATGCTTGTGTCCATTAGAAAACCTAACTTGCAGGGAGGTAAGAGTCACTGGGCAGCAGGCAGAACTGTCCCAGGCCCCAGGGTGGCTTGGCCAGGACTTGCTTGACATTAGGGAGGAGACTACATGGCCTTCGAGGCTGCCCCTGAAGACACTCCCATGGGAAAGACTGCTCTCCTTTCTGAATGGAAACCAAAATCCACCCAGCCATCTTCCCTGGGCTAGTGGCCTTGGGTTTGCTAAGGAGAGAAAATGCTGTGATGCCAGCAAATGGCCTTTTGAGCCCAACCACAGGGTGCAGACCAGAAAGGGCCCTAACATGGTGTCTCATTCCTTCCTTAGGTGCCCTAACATGTCCCTGATGGTCTCAAGACAGTGCCTGGTCCCCTGCACCTGAAGGTTAAAACTTCACATTTCCCATAGACCCGAGGTCCGCAGTAGGTACAGGGCTGTGTACCACACCAAGGGCAGGAAGTAACCCAAAAGATTGCTGAATACCCCTGGCCCTGTCACCCAGGGTGTTATAAGAGGAGGAAGCTGGGCAAGACAGAGGCCCCTGAGGCCTACCTACCCGAATCTGGGATGAGCAGCTCATCAATGAAGTGGATGACACCGTTGGTGGCGAGGATGTCTTTGTTGGAGATGACAGCCTTCCCGTTAATGGTGAGCTTGTCTCCGCTGCAGCCCACCTCCAGGGTGGTGCCCTCCAGGGTCTCCATGGACACTCCGGCAACAATGGCCTCAGCACACATGGCCGACTTCAGGATGTGGTTGTTCAGCAGGTCTGGGGCAGAACAGGACACAGGTCTAGAGCCTGCTGTGGCCCTGTCCTTGCAAGTCAGCTCCCAGCCTACCTGAGGCTGAGGACTTTGCTGGAGTACCACAGGGCCCACCCCCATCTCTGTCTACTGCTGTCTAAAACCGCTGGGGCTCTGTGGTCAGACTGCCTGGGTTTGAATCCCCTGGCTGTCAATCAACTAACTGTGGGACCCTGGGCCAGCTACTTGGCCTCCTTCAGTCTCCTCTTCCTTATGAGTAAGCACATGAGATTAGCATTACCTCCTCGACCTGAAGTGCAACAAAGAAACACCAGCCATTACCTTATGAGCATTGGGCTTCCTAATGTGCTGGGGATTAGGGGAAACCTCCAATAGACCCCCCCATGGGTCTTTTAAGCCTTAGGCCTTTACAAGACACAGAATGAGTCAGGGAAAGATGAAAACTGCCCCAAGGATAGCTGGGAATTATTTGTATGTCTTGCTTTCTGGACTATTTCATCTTAGCCCAAGGTCTGTCTACTAGTGGACAGGATCTGTCTTAGGGACGTCTGCACCCATTGCTCACTCTTGTCTGGGCGCTACTTTAGAGGCATGTGTGTGGGCAGTCAAAAGCTGAAGCCTCTGCACCCACACCTCTAACAGGCTGTCAGTCATTCATGACCTCTGGGCAGAGGAAGCAGCAGGGACCAGAGTCAAGGACATGCCCCACCTCCTCCCTGAATCCACAGGTTCCCAGGCACCACTGTCCCAGACAAGGTCCTTTGTCTCAGTGTCACCACGAGGGTGACTTTCAGTTTATCCTTGAGTGTGGGAAGCAAAAACTGCTCTGTCACAGTAAGGAGGACGCTTTGGGGCCAGCAGAAGCACCAGGATGCTGGAAACAGATTCTGAAAGCCAGTATTGGCCCCACTCAGTCATCAGAGATGAGACAAGGGTGGTGGTATGCTTGTAATCCCATCTCTCAGAAGCAAGACTGCCTTGACTTGGAGGCTAGCCTAGGCTGCAGAGTAAGCCCTGCCTTCAGATGACAAGAAGACCCCATAGGAATGAGGCCTTTGAGGGATCCTGCTTCTTAGAGAGTAGACTGAACCCCGGGGTGAAGTAGGGGCCACTCAGGGGTGAGAAAGACAGGACCAGAAGTCAGACTTCAAACAAGATATGCCAACCCAGGCTGCTTCCTGCCTGTCTGCCACCCACACAGAGACAGAACAAGGCACTGTAGCCACAGCAGAGGGCAGGCCCCTGATTTGAGCAAACTGGTTATTGCACAGAAGAAGCAGATAAACAAAAGGCCTCTGCCCGGGGTCTGTAATGAGTTCTAATATCGATGAATATGAAAATGCGCTCTGCACAAAAGATCTTTAATGCATGGTATATTAGATGCCGAATGTCCCCATCCCGGAGGCCTGTATGTTAAAAGTTTGGCCCCCCAGGGTGGGTGCTATTAGGAGGTGGTGACAACTTTAAAAGACAGGGCTACTGTGAGGGCTTTAGGTCACTTGGCACACAACCCCAAAGCCAGGTTTGAAAGCCATGGGGTCAAGTGATCATGAAATAACACATCTAAGACTGTGAGCCGGAGGGAATCTGTGCTCTTTGCAATCTGGCTATTCCAAGCGTGGAGATGCAGCCACACCTCTCCTGGGAGGGGGAGGTCTCCTAGTCCCCGAGGCTATGAATCCCAACCGTGCCCTCCCTCACTGCACTTACCAGACCACATCTCAATAGCCTGTTTTGAAGCCCACCAGGTTTTAACCCTCTTGCAGGCACACTTTGGACTGTGTTCACTGTGGACCCCAGTTCCCAGTGCAGAACAGATATTTTAAAGGACAAGGCTCATCTAGGCTCAGCTCCCGTCTGTGCTCTGAGTTCCCCATGTCCTCCTGTGTCTGTCTGTCCTCCTGTGTCTCTCTGTCCTTCTGCATCTGTCTGTCCTCCTGCGTCTGTCTGCCCTCCTGTGTCTGTCTGTCTGTCCTCCTGTGTCTCTCTGTCCTTCTGCGTCTGTCTGTCCTCCTGTGTCTGTCTGCCCTCCTGTGTCTGTCTGTCTGTCCTCCTGTGTCTGTCTGTCTGTCCTCCTGTGTCTGTCCTGTCCTCCCACTCCTGGCCTGTCCCGAGTTTAAATTTACAGGGTGTCTGTAAAGCACTAGACATCTTACTTGGTACCCTGCCAAGGTTGGTTTCAATGAAGCCATGCCTAGTGACGTTTAGGAGGAAGAATGTGCACTTTACGGGCCTAGGGGTTCACTGGGCAGCTCAGTGTGAGTGGACCCTCAAAAGTCCGAGAATTAAAAGGGGTCGGGTGAGGTCAGAGTGGGACCACTCCTAATCTACCCTCCATGTCCAGCTTGGGAGCTGAAAGATGGGCCCAGCAATGGAAGTCAGCTGACCACTACTGATTCCTAACTGTGATTTCTGGCTACCCATGAAGTCTCTGGCCAGACGTAGGAAGACGTGCAAGGTCAGCAGGGTGATTCCAATTGAAGGATGCCACCACCAGCCGCCCACACCCGATTCCTGCGGGCTATTTAAACGTCACACATCTACCTGACAGTTTCGGCCACTCCTGTTTTGTTCCCTTTGTTTAGCCAGGGTCAGCTGGGGACTCCCAGAACTGGCTCTGCTTGCCTTCCACAGAGACATGGCCACTGGGAAGAGCACAAGCCAGGGTTGTAGTGGACGTCCTGAAACTTGTGGCACTAGCATAGGCCGGGGCTCCCGTGGGCCGCTCCAAGGAAGCAGCAACATGAGCCCAGGGTGCTTACCCCTCAGAGCCTCTGGGTCACCCAGGATCCGGTTCAGGGTCTCAGCAGGGATCTTCTCGAAGGCCTCATTGGTTGGGGCTAGGAGCGTGAACTGGCCGTCACCTTCCAGCAGGGTATTGAGCCCCGACGCAGCCACAGCGGCCTGTGTGGGGGACGGGGGGAGAAGTGTTTCCTAGACTCACCTGGCAAGACGCACACACCCTGGTTATGCCTCCCCTGGGGACTCCAGACACCTAGAGAAGTCCCGAGAAAGAGAGAAGCCTGGCTGACGTTCTGTCTTAGCATGGACTCACAGGGCTGGGCCTGCGCTCAAGCCACACTGGCCGGTTTCCAGTTGTTGACAGATTTTACTCCATGCCAACTTTATCCTGTAGTTCCCTTCACCTCTGTCTCTGTCTCTGTCTCTGTCTCTGTCTCTGTCTCTGTCTCTCTGTCTCTGTCTCTCTCTCTGTGTGTCCCTCCCTCCCTCCCCCCCTCCTTTCTCTCTCTTTCTCTCTCTCTGTCTCTCTCTCTCTGCTTCCTGGACTTCCATTCCTTCAAACCTTGATGCCATTCCTGTTGGCCCAGGTCCCCCAGTGAAAGTGAGCCCGATTGTCATGTCTCCCAGCTGTCATCCCATGATTAATTGTGACCCCTTATGAGTGATTGTGTAGCGTAACGATCACATGACTCAGGGTTACACAGCATCTAGAACAATCTCCTAACAGCCAGAGCGGCTTGTCACTGCTCCCCATAGAGAGCCCCCCCTCCCCCCCCGGTCTGTAAGGCCTGCAGGGTCTTCAGCCCACAGGCTTCCTCCAGGTTTCCCTAGAGCAGGGAGGCTGTGGTGCTTCTGCAGTGAGGCTGGGCAGCCTGGGCTGCTCCCACCTTTCGGGGCCTCTCCGCTCAAAGTGCCTCTTCCCAAGAAGTTCCTGGCCATCCATCTACTGTGAATCCCAGCAGTAAGGGGAAGCTACTTAGTAGGACTCTGTGCTGATAATGAAAGCGTGTCTGTCAACTTTGGGGTAACATTCCCTCGAAGACCCTGAGGAAAGGCGAGGAGAAGCCCTCAGAGAGCCCTGCCCGCCCCCCCAGCCAGCCCAGAGCCCTCCCCAAACACCAAGGCCCCTCTGTGTTCACGCTGTGTGTTTGTCTCTGTGTTGGAGATCTCCAGGGAGGGGCTGCTCTACTCCCACTTGTGTACTCTGTGGTTAGGAAATCCTCCTCGAATCGGGCAAAACCCCTGACAGGGCAGCCTGTGCTCACTTCCTCCTGGTGGCCAGTGCCAACCGGAAACTGCTCGCCCTTCCAGTTAGACACACTCCTTCGGCTAGAGCAGCCCGGAGCCAGCTCGGGAGTCAGGACTATCCTTCTGAGTCACATCGGCAGCCTCTCTGTAAGGTCTGCGCCCCCAAGAGACATGGGTGTGGGGCCCCAGGCTGGGACGTATGGTCTAGAAGGACGTGCCAGCTGACTTGTAATAGTGCCCTGTGTGGGAGGAGCATCGGGAAGGAGGGCCCCCACCCTCTGGGGCGCAGAGAACTGATCCCTGGATCATCCAGGAGCGCCAAAGGAAGGGAAGCTTTACAACAGGGGCATTTCTCGGAGTGGGTCAAGCCCAGTGCTCAGGAGTGTCTTCTCCACGTAACCACACTTGGGACATCATCAGGCCCTCCTGCAGAAGACGCCCTTCCAGGCCCCTTTGGGGAGGCCAGCTGTCCCCAGCATGGGCCTCTACTCAAAGTAGTCCCTTACCCGAAGGGTCTCAAAGGTGTCTTCAATCTCAATGATCTGCTGAATGTTGTTGGTGATGGTGGAAATGACCTTATCAATGAGGTGCACCACGCCGTTGGTCGCATGGTGGTCCGCTTTCAGCAGCCGGGCACAGTTGACTGTTACAATCTGCCCAGAGAAGAAACAAGGATGAGTGACACGGGAGGTTCCGGGAAGGGCAAACAGCGGGCCCACGGCAAGGAGCAGGATGTGAAGCGGGAGGGTCTAGAGAGGACCTGGGAGGCAAGGGCTTGTCTCTGCAGCTTATCAGTCCCAGGACAGAACCCTAGAGGGAAACCCCCCACGTGGGCGGGAGGTGGGTTTGTGATGGACGCGACAGTGCTGAGTAGCTGGGGTGCCCCTACCCCGTTGGGATAATGATGGATCTGGATGTTGGAGTTCTGGTACATGGAGGTGAGGGCCATGCCATGCTTCAGCTCGTCGGTCAGGACCCGCCGGTCCACCATATGGTAGCGGAGGGCGTTGAGCAGTTCGATGTTGACGTTGCTTACCAGAGAGTCCAGCACTTCCTAGAAAGAAAGGGCTTGATAGTTAAGAGGCAGCAGCCCTCTGCTTGAGGGATACGCCTCTCTCCAAGTGGACCTAGACCCCTCTTCTGCCAAGGGCCCCCCTTTTAGTGAGCATCAGAGGGAGGATGGGGCCATTGGAAGGCACCTGGGGAGCCCTGCATTAACTTTCCCTTAGGGAAAGGATGTCCGACACAGCAGGAGGTCCCCACTGTGTGCCCAGGTCTCAGGAGAAAGGCCGTTCCAGGACAAGTGCCCTGGGCAGGAGGCTCCTCTCACCGCGGGCAAGGAAGCCCAGGCCTCGTTGCTAGGGGCAAAGATGGTGAAGCTGCCTGGTCCCTCCATCTCAGGTCTCAGCTTTTCCGTGCGGTCTGTGTACAGCTGCGTGGTGGTTGATCCGACAACTCCCAGGGTCTCGTAAAGGTTAGAGAGCGGAAGAGCTGCAGAGGGAGAGGGCAGAGGGACGGGTGTGAGTCCGTCCTAGACTCGCTCATTTGTCAGAAAGGACGGACAGCGGCAAGAAGGGAGTCGTGAGTGGGCGGGGAATCCCAGACACCTGCTGATGGAGGTGCTCAAAACTCTCTTCCCAGAACCAGTCAGTAAGTCAAATGCCTCCTCGTGAGGACAGGCCTACTGGGCAGCTTCTAGCTGTTTCCAGCCCAGCAGAGCAGAGCTTCCGCCCCTCCGTGTTCAGACGAAGCAGGCGGGAAGCTCCAGGCAGGCCTCACAGATCTCCTCAGGTATTACCACCCACTCCCTAACAGCTTTGCGAGAGCGGCAGACAGGGCTGAGAATCTTCCAGGTCTTTGGTGTGCTTTTCAGGGACTGTCTGCAGTTGAGAAGGGCCCTCTTAGATGGCAACTGGAAAGTCTATTTATTTGCTTTCTAAGACAAGCTCACTATGTAGCCCCCAGGTTGGCCTTCAGCTCATGGTGATCCTCCTGCCTCAGCTTCCTGAGAATTGGGGTAACAGGTGTGTGCTCATACACAGACTAATGTCCGCATTTAAGTCATCTGATGTCATCACCCAGAGGTTAAGTCCCCCTCCCATAGGCCAGCACCCTTATCCCACTTTATCTCTTCAACTGCCCGTTTCAAGTGGGCGAGCACTGCCACGACCTTGGCCACGCTAACTATGTCATCGTGATCTCCACTCTAAATCAAATTGCTTTCTCTTTTAAACTTGTGTTCATATCCCAGCCTTAAAACTATCTTGAATTTCAAAGCTAAAACAAAATGCAAACCCTACATAACGGCCGTGTGGCACTAAATGCTCTGATGCGATGCACAGGTGTTGTGCCGTCTCTGGGCCAGTGTGGCATTTATGGGGCCCTTTGCTGCCCGTGGGTAAGCCTGCCCACCTAGTACACTCCTCTAGAGACCACGTTGTCCCGTGTGATCCCCCCCCCCAGCAGGGCTGATGGGCACCCGATGGCTGATAGGTCAGCCTTGTTGGATGCCCCGAGAACCACTGTCAGCCATGTCATCCCGTGTGATTCCCCCCCCAGCAGGGCTGATGGGCACCCGATGGCTGATAGGTCAGCCTTGTTGGATGCCCGAGAACCACTGTCAGCCATGTCATCCCCTGTGATCCCCCCCCAGCAGGGCTGATGGGCACCCGATGGCTGATAGGTCAGCCTTGTTGGATGCCCGAGAACCACTGTCAGCCACTGACGACAAGGCCGGAGCCTGCAACCACGGAGAAGAGGCTGGACAGAGTGGAGTGGGCTTCGCTCCACCTGCTTGGTGGGGGTCAGGAGTAGAGCAGGAGAGATACTGCTTCCGTTCCCCCACCCTCTGCACCCCACGACCCAGTAAGCACAGGAAGAGACAGCCTTATGCCCCCACCCTGCTGCAACTGCTGCCTTCCCTCTACAGGGCAATTCTTCCTCTGGCCCTTCCGTCCCATCCACCCACAGGCAGGCCCTGGCTCGCTCACCTGCTGGACAGCCTTTCTCTCCGGGGACCTTTTCATATCCAGGACAGCACTCATAGCTGATGACTCTGAAAGAGAGACACGGGAGTATGTCCCTCAGCGCATCCCTCTTTTTCCCAGATGCTCTCCAGGCCGAAATGCCACGGGATCACGGGAAGATGGGCGACAGGCTCAGCATCCTCCCTCTTGGGACGGCACGTGCCCTCCTCTTACACGATTGTACTTACTGATCGGTGCCCAGGAGCACCTCACCTCTGCCTTGGAAAATGGTTCTGATGGTTGCCAACACCAGCAGCCAACCAGCCGGGAAACCTGGTGAAGGTGGCACGCTGAATAAACAGCCCAATAGAAACGTAACTCAACCAGCAACGACCTCCAACAACCGCTCGCGGGAAACCGGAGGGATGGTGATCAGGGGAGGAGCCGAGAGGACTAGAGAGTCCTGGGGTGGTTCTAGCTCTGAACCTACCTCACCCCCGTAGTCCCACCTCTTCTCTGGGTCTCGACATACATGTAAAATGCCCATGGAGGGGCTCTGGTGACTTCTGTCTCTCTGCTACTATTCTAGAACTTGAGTTAATAACCCAAAAGGCAGGATATGAGCGATCATTGTGCATTCATGTTTTTTTTTATTTAACTTTATTTTATGTGCATTGGTTGATGGTATTGGATCCCCTGGAACTGGAGTTAGAGAGAGTGTGAGCTGCCATGTGGGTGCTGGGAACTGAACTCTGGTCCTCTGGAAGAGCAGTCAATGCTCTTAACCACTGAGCCATCTCTCCAGCTCCCCGTGTTCATGGTTTTTACAAATCAGATTTCAAATGAAAACAGAGTGCCTCTTCATGAAGGCACTGTTTTGCTAGTTTTCTACATTAAAAAAAAGCTTACTAAGAGCATGCTTAGAGTTTCAAATCTAAAGCATCTTAGTGGCCATAAGTTACTCCCTACCCAGCCATCTTCAACCTCCCCACTGTCTTCCCAGGAGGTAACCAAAGGCACCAGCTTGCAAGATCCTCTGCATTTGGTTCAAGTGCAGGGCACTTTAAAATCATTTGTTCAGAAAGCTAAAGATTGTCTTCTCCCCTTCCAAGGAGCCCGTTGTGGGACGCTGGCTGCTGCCTGGACATCACAAAACACACTCCAGCCATCCTGATCCTCGACAGACGCCCCAAAGCCGAGAGAGTTTCAAATGACATCGCTGCCCTGCGCTGAAGCTGCACACAGGTGTGCAGCCCACATACCCCCACCCCAAGGCCTGGAGCCCAGCGCACACAATCTGGTTTCCCTGTTTCCTTCTTATACAAGAGCTTTGCCAGTCTTGCTCTTTCAGGGATGACATCATCAGAAAGGAGTCAGGTGGGCGGGAAGAGATGTGGCAGTGGGTGGGGGAAGGGGGGTGTGTCGAGGAGGCTGCTGGCTGGCTCCCGTGAATTCGTCTGGAATCTGCTCAGCAAGGGCTCAGCTAAGTGAAGAAGCCTGGTCTGCTGTGGCCCAGGGGACGCTTCAGGTTCTCAGATGGCCAGGAAGCTACAGGTGTCTGCTTGGCTAGACATGCTCCCCCGCCCCGCCCGAGAAACGACAAGCTATACATTCATCTGTGCCCTGCTTTCTCCAGCCCCTTACAGGTTCTCCTGCAGCACGCTTCCCATCGGCCCCCTTTTCACCTCCTCTGGACCCCTGTACTTAAGGATTGAACTGATCGCTGGCAGGGGAACCAGTATTTATCCCTAAGGCATGAATGTGCTTTGGGAGCCCATTCCCTATGGAGGGATGCCCTCTCAGCCCAGGTACAGGGAATGGGGGGAGGAGCTAGGACATGCCCTAAATGATGTGACAGACTTTGATGATCCCCATGGGAGGCCTCACCCTCTCTGAGGAGTTGATGGGGAGATGGTGGAGGGGAATGGGAGGATGAGATGGGGAGGGAACTGAGATTGGTATATAAAATACGATTGTTCTTAATTTAAATGAAAACTGATTTTTGAAAAGAAGGAACTAAACAGACTGTGAGCTCACGGCTGACACTGACCAACCCCCGGTGTTATTCCCTGAATGTGGTCGCTTCTGTTGCTGAAGAGCTTGGCAAGGTGGAGTACTGTAGGAGAAGCACCCCCCCCCATGAGGAGGGTCGCCTTAGGATCCCTCAGTGACTAGTGGGGTAACCTTGGGAACCCACTTCTCTCTGTGGTCCGCTTTCTCATCCACAGAGTGGGGCACCATTGCAGCAACTGCGCTGTGACGCCCTTCAGCCTCAGTGCGAGCATTCCAGGCAGCTGAGGGACTTCTGAGGGCCAAAGAGACAGTCACTGCCAACCTCTCCCAGCTGAATCCAGGGAGAGCCCCAAGCCTTGAGCCTACGGCACCAGGACTCTGCCCCCCCCCCACTCACACACATGAATGGATGGATGGATGGATGGATGGATGGATGGATGAGTGCAAAAACAGTACCAGTATTCTATGACAGGAGTTGGGGAGGTGGAATCAGACAAAGCCATCACCCCAACTTAGTCACTTTTCCCAAAGTGCCAATGTAGAATTCCATGGAGTTAGAGAATCATTTGGGGGAAACCTGTCCTATGCACAAAGTTCCCTCTGGGCCCCCTTTGGGAACATGGCAGCTTATGTTCCATGGCTGGGAAGTGCACAGCTATAGACTGTTCCCCCAAACTATAGACTAGTCCCCCCAAACCAAAGGACAGCTGAACATCTTGGGTGGCCTCCCCAGGATTTCAGTGAAGATGAAAGAAAATAAACTCCCTAAAGTGCGTGTGCGTATGTGTGCACGTGTGTGTAGGACAGGGATAGAGAATGGTATGGGGACAAGTGGGAATCTGCGGCTGGTGGGGAAGGGCCAGACCTAAGCAGGACGACCTCAGAAGGACAGTCAGGAAGCAAGCAGAGGGGTCGGATGGGCCAAGGGGCCCTCGAGAGCCTAGACATGCAGGGGCATCCCTGGGCTTTATCAAGGCTCGCTCTTAGACCAGTGTCCTTGCCCATGTGCACTTTCGGAGGCGGCAGACAGATTTGGTGCTATCTCCAGAGTGCGGGGTGCGAAAAGCAAAGCCTTTGGGGTAGGCTCGCTGCACCTGCCCTCCCGGGGGGGCTACACAGTACCCTGATTTCACATGGGCGTGGCCTCCGTACCACAGTCCTCACAGCAGAGGTTCCGTCTCCGGGGCGTCAAGCTGTAACCAAGCAGCCCTTTTCCAATCCTGTCACCTGCCTGGGAGACCCCTCCTTCCTGGGCTGGCCAGCAGCCACTCCAGGTATCTGTCTGGAGTGTAACTGCAGGCCATACTCTCATTTGAGGACATCAGCTGCATCTGCTGAGAAGGTTCAGCAGCTGGCAGGTTCCGTGCTCCCAGCTATTTTTTCAGAACCAGCCGGCTCAGGCGCAGAGGTCGGCTGGAGACTGCAGGCAGAGAAAGCAGATTATCAGACAGTCTTGACTGGGACTTTTTGAGCTGGCAGCCTCCCCAGTGAGCTGTCCTATCCTCCCTGTGCCATGTTCCATTCTACATAGCCCCCCCCAAGAATACACGGGATTTGTAAGCACAGAGCTTAAATCTGGTACCACCTCTCTAGACCCCGCAGGAAAGGATGGAAACTACGGGTGCCTCTCCTTGCCCCTCTCCAGTTCCCAGGCGCCCCTTCGCAGGAAGGACCAGGCTACTGGCTTCTGCATCTTGGCTCATCAGCTAGAGTACGATTAAAGCTGCCGGCCTTGGCTTGGCCACACACGGTACACAAAACCCTCAGTCTGGATTAAGTACACACTCGAGGGCAAAGAGTTACGAAGCATCTTGTTCCAGCCTCTTTGGACAGAAGGAAAATGAGGGAGAGTAGCTGATTCAAAGAAGGAGTGTAAAAAGGTGATGTCAACACGAGGTCAAGGAGTGGGGTATTTCCCATGTCTATCTAGTGTTTTCTCTTGGGTTGGATGGGGAGAAGTCTCATTAACTTCTCCCCAAACTTGTTTCCCACTAAGCTAATATAAACTTAAAACACTCGCTCCCCCAAATGTGCAGCACGGGTCTAGCTGCTATTCTAGCTGCACGTGGCAGGGGACTGACTACGCTGGGGAGAAGGTGGAGTAAGGAATGGAGACTGAGGGCAGTCTCCTGCGGTGGGGACACTCATCGTGTCACCGTGCCTGAGATGAGCCACAGAGCAAACCATACTCACGGCATCTAGAGACTGGCACACCCCGGAGACCGTCAGCCGGGAACGGCTCGTTTTCTGCGTGCTGTTTCTTAGACAGAGGCTAAGCTGATTCTTGAAGTTTCCAGAAGAAACTCCGGGCTTTCCCTAACCGACTGTGCCCCAGCAAAGGCCTCTGCCACAGAGGCTTTCAGAGCCCAGTGAGACACGAGGTGACTTGAGAACATAGGTTTATAGCATTTTCCACATGGATGGGAGAGCGTGTTGATGGCTGTTGGATGCTGACTGTCCCCGTGATCCCACACCCACTGTCTGATGAGAAGTTTGGTTCTCAGACTCCCATCAGTCATCATAGTGACCACCAGATTTGGAATCAGTCACCAGGAGGTGACTAGTGACTGTCCCTAGGGCATCTCTGACTCCAAGAGGATTTGTTTCTAGGACCCTGGCTGTCCATCTGGGGCTGTAAAAGGAGACTTAGGAAAGCATACCTAGACCTGATCCTGCTGTACCTGCGGCATTGCTGACCCTAGCTGCCAGCCTTGATTATCCCTGGGGATGGCACAAAGTGGCCAGACCTTCCCATCTCTCAATGTATGACTCTCAGTAGGCAGTGCAGGCCTCTGGAGCCTCAGTATTCCCACCTGCAAATGGGCTCTTTTTCTTTCTTTTTTCCCCAATAAACCCTATTACTTGGTCAGAGAATGACTATGGGAACTGAATTGGCAAACATACATGAAATATTTCAGTGTGACGTGTATTATAAGTACTCAGCACGGGGCTTCTTAAAAAAAAGCTGATGAAAATAAAAACCACCCTCACAGAATCGTCAAAGTGGAAGCCCAGTTATAATCTAATAAACAAGCTTCATTGAAAGCAAAGGCCTGCAGGAGACTGCCGATCAAACTGCACTGTAACAGCTATAAACACAGCAGCGAGGGCTGTTGTCAGTTTCTGATAGCTCGCTGTGACAAATTACCACAAACCCAGTGGCTTAAAATACTACAGATTTATTGCGTCACGATTCTGAAGGTTAGAGTCCGAAGTCGGCCTCATGGGCCTAAAATCAAAGGCCACGCACGCTCGCTTCAGAAGCTGCCAGGGTAATCCCGCCTGCATCCTTCTGTAGATGGACATCCCCCATTGTCCTTCAGATTCTGGACGCTGCTGGAGTCCTCAGCCTGTGGCCACAGCACTCTAGCTGTGGATCTCAGCACACCCTTCTCTGACTCTGACTCTTCTGCCCCCTTTACCAGGACCCCTGCGATCCCAGACCCACCTCAGGGCGACACCCCAGTCACATCCGTGAAGTCCCCTTTTGCATGTAGAGGAAAGTATTTATAGGCTTCAGACTGGGATGCGGGCATCTTTGGGGGAATCATTACCCCACACAGTACGTGGGCCCTTGAAAGTTCTCAACAGAACAAACTTCCACACCAGCTAAGCAGACTCCTATCTTACAGAGTGGTCTGGGTCTAGAATTTTTAGGAAGCACCATGCCATGGGGTGTGCTCGGTCTCTACAGTCTCAGAGCGAGTTATGGATGGGGGCAGGACATGGGCGTGGTCAGGGGACAGAGCATACTGCTCCTAACCACCTCTTTCCCCCTTGGGACCAAGACGCAGGGATGCGTGGGAGGGGGGTAAGAGCTCTCTGTCAGATGTCCTTGTGCCAGAATGACACCTACTAGAAGTAGACTATCTAGCTGACTGGAGAGTGCCACCATGTCCCAGATGCTGGCAGAAAACGTCCAATTTCTGCTAATGCAGAGAAACTATGTTATGTATCTGAAGGGCAGAGCAACAGCAGCTCCTGGAGAAATAGGAGCTGTCATTTTGGCTCCAGAAAATAGCTTCTCACCTGTGAGCCCGTGCTGCCGGGGAGCAATTGGAAGGCTTTGGGATAGACGGCTGCCATCCCCACCTGCTGGCTTCCACGCAGGCCCCTCTGTACCGCCTTCAGGGTGCCGTGCCCCAGCCCTGGCTGTGACACCCCACTTGTGTCACCTTCAACCTGTCTGTTGAGCAGACTCCCATCCCCCAGCCTCACCCAAGAGGCCTTCAGGGAAGCAACCAGCCTTCTCTCTAGACCTTATGGCCAAGAACCACACATAAAATGTCTACGGTTTCCTCTCAAATCAGGGCCTGGGATCACAGAGTGGGCTACTGTCTGTCAGCCACAAGCCTCTTTGTCTGGTGGCTCTGGCGTCACCCTGGCGCTGCAGCTCTGGTGCAGGGGCTGAAGTGAATTGCCAAGCGCTGGGATTCACCAGCCAGGAGGAGTCCCTTGCTAACCGCACCAGCCCGGCAGAGCTCAGTGCTTTAGCACACAGCACCGGTTGGTTCTCAGAGGCTCCTCTCCTTGGAAATACAGACAGCTACTGCTGGAAGACACAGCGGCCTCACCAGTGTGGCAGGGCACACACCCACTCACCCTCTGGAAGGCAGTGCTTGCAGTGCTCACAGCCACAGACACACGGGCTTCTAGGCTCCATGCTCACTAGGCCTGTTGCACGTCTCTGGTGACCTCACATGGCAAGATCTTCGCCTCCACGCCCGGTGCTCATCGTCTTGTTTTCGGGACCAAAATTTCCTTTTGGTCTCAGGCCCCTCGAGGATCCGCTCCCTCTCATCCCAGTGTATACTTCTGCTGCAGCTCCCCGATCCCCCCGACCCCTGACATCTTGATGAGAAAATGCCAGTGTCTATGCTGGCTTGTCAGACAGCCGTCTGCTCCAACCCCTACACTTCTGGTCCCTACGCATCATCTACTA